GCGGTCTCCTCCCTTCCTTGCCAAGAACTAGTGCATGAGGTTTATCTCATGCACTAGTTCCCAGACACGTGTGGGCTCTGGATGTTAAAAAGATGCAGGATGTTGGCTACATGTTGGTTGTATGCAATGTTGTAATGAATTCCTGTGAGCTTAGTTATATTTCTCTTGTTGTTTAGTTTAAAACATTCTGATATGCTGATCCTTTATTAGTCTGGTGGGGGTAGTCTTCAGTGATTTGGGCTGGTGCAATTTCAGACATGAGTACCGAAGCAGAAATTACCTGTTTCTCAAAGCGTTGAGCCCACTAGTCTCATTGATCGCTATGGGGTTTAATGCAAATGCAAGAAGGACTTTTACTGAGAAGGCTGAGTGTAAAGCCTAGATACAGGCCTCCTGGGTGGGAGTTTCCAGAGCGTTCAATTCATTAGCATAAGTCTACTTCCACTGAAAATGACAGTTGTAGCACCAGCTTTGAATGGACAGAGTTGGGTTATTCCAGAAAAATTCTGAAAATCCTACCTTCCTATGTTAAATGCCTTTTTAAGCTGACAGGTAGCAGCAGCTGTAGATGCTAAAAGTAACTTTATTTTTGTAATGTGGTGCCCTGTCACTGCTGGAGCACTGACCGTTCAGACGAACACAGATGAACAATTTATCCCTACTCGATATGACTTTTCCCAGGAAAATCATGGCCTTCTTACCTTCTTTCTTTTTAACTGCCTCCAGTTTGGTGGAAGCTTATTGGGTTAATCTGTAGGCAATTACTGCAATTTCAGAGTAATCATTCTTAGGGTGGAGGTGGGAAAAAGGTACAATAGCAATTAAAAATCCATTAATAGTTAAGTTAGATTTCTTAATCTAAAGCATAACTGCAGCTACAATGGTATTTTCTATATGACATTCATTCTGTGATATTAGCTGCATAAGTGTGGATCATCTTTATGCAGCTTTGGTTATGTCTCTCTCTCACACACATCTGTATGATTTTAAAACTGGTATGTTTTTTTAAATATTTTTGTACACCTGAGTGAAACTATGTTTGTATATGTATATGCATATGCATAAGTATATAATTGAGAGGAAATATAGTGCAGTTATTGAAAGCTGAGCTAAACAAACAAAATTCTTATTAAATCAGACACCTAGACTCTAAATAAGTGAAATAACATATGCATTAACAGCTCCAAATTAATAATTAGAGAAAACTGTAAAGTAGCAGGCTCAAAAATCTGTGTGATCTCTTAAAGGCTAAAACTATGAAGTATCAAGTTCACTGTAGTGTAGTCTGAACAGAAACAATTCTCATTTCACACAGCAGATGGACTCCAGAAATCTTCACTCTCTAAGTATCAACTGATGTTGACTGAAAGCTATCTAGATGTACAGAGGAAAGCTTTATTCCTTTTTTATTTGCTAGTGTCCAGAAAATCTTCCGTAAAGATAAAAGACAGTTTATTAGTAAAATGCCAAACCAGTCTTATAAAGAGTTGATTCTAACTGTGCACTGAAGTATGTAACGCAGGGGAATTTTTCTTTTGATTCTAGTCCAGACATTTCAAGGGCCTTTTTATGTCTGCCTTCTAAAAATGAAGGTTTGCAGGGAGAGCAGACCAGAGCAAGAGCTATCTTTTAAGTTTACATGTCTGGCTCTCATCTTTGCCATGAGTGATCTTTTGTAAACATACTTAAGATCACAAGATGTTTCATCTTTGGGCAAGGCAAGAAGGATGTCATGTCACTGCAGTACCTGAAGAAAACATTAAGAAATCTGCATGCGGTTAGAAAAGCCCTTAATGTGCCGTACATTGGTGGGGCTGTGGTAAATCTCTAGCTGTCACAGATTCATTTTGCACATTATATTAAATATGTCAATAATGATAAAGGATTGGTCTCCCACAAAAGTAAAGATGAAACAAATAAGGCTTGTTCAGTGATTCACAATCTCTCATAACTGTATAGTTTTAGATGTGAATTACATATTAAACACAAGCGGTGTCCTTTAAAATTCATGGTTTGCATACTTTGAAAACACAATGAAGTCGAAGGGAATTGGTGATGTAGTTTGACCTGCGTATTGATTGTGATTAGTAATAAATCAGCCACATGAAACTGTTGTTAATGATATTGTCCAAGGAATGCAATTAAAATCAATTTTTGTTTATTTAAACACATACCCTGGGCAGAGGTATGAACAAGAAAATCCCTGTTAAGTTATTTTACAGCACTATGTTGAGAGCAATGGCAGCACATTCAGGAATTTCAGGCTTTCTTGTGAAGTCCTGTGCAAATTGTTTTACTGCAAGGTAGAAGCTTTCTGATGTTAATGTTAGTTGAAGTAGTACTGTCAAATAGCTGTACAGTGTGTCCAGACCCAGAGGCTCCAAGACAACATCACAGTTTAACACTAGAAGATAGCGTACCATTCATTTTGTCATAACAGCTTTCGCTAGTTATAGAGCATTAAGAAGAGAACAGGACAACTGTACAACAGAACCCACACATATCTACCATTTCTCTGACTTTTTGTGCACAAAAATGACCTTAAACCTTTGAAGTAATTTTTTTTTCCACCATGGAATTTAATGAGGTCAGAATAATTGAGATCAGAATAATGGTGAGACAACTATTTCACTTTGGGTTTTGATTGCATAATCAAGACCCACCTGTATTTACTAAATTCCAGCATGGATTCTTATGTCCATCTATATCAGTGGCACATATCCTACTAACTACCAAGTTTCACCTTGACAATATTAGGACATAATTGTCATTTGCTCATTGGTCCAATTTAGGCATAGCATCCTAGATGTAGCATAATTTCATGGAAACAGTGAAAGATATTACATGACAGTTGCTGAACCAATTTTAATATCATTTTAGAAAATAAGAGTAGAAATCCACATACGTCAGTGAAGAAAAGACCAATGAAATATTTTTTTACTTTTTGGAGAAATTACATTTTACTATTCTTTTTGGTTTCAAGAATACTCCTTCTGGAAATGAAGACGCTCCAGTAAAAAGGTGTTTCCATTTGTGTAGTTTGTTTGTAACTAATTAGTAGTACTAAGCATATGCAATTCTTTAAAAAGGCAAATTTTGAATTATTGAACATTACCATGACTACTATTCCATTTAGCCAGAAAGGGCCACAACTGCATTTTTCATACAGTATTTAAAAATAAAAGCACATTAAATAATGATTGCCATGGTTAAATATTTATAATATTTTCTCCTTTGTCACAAAATGATCTTTTTCACTATTTTAAGTCCCAGTTTTATAGCTTTTTGGGTTTAGTGAAAAAAACCCTCATTGTGTTCTGGCAAGCTTATCAGAATACAGAAGTGTGGGTTAGACAACGAAATATGAGATAGTAGACACTATTTCTTAAGCTAACACTGACCCCAGAATGCTCCTATCTTCTGATGGAACAACTGGCAATAGCACCAGTTTGGGCAATGCAGTATGGAGGATGAGTATTTTTACAAAGTAATTTGAAGAAAAATTCATCTGAACTAATGTAGATATATGCCTCTCAATTGTTCTAAACTCTTGTTACAGTTGAGGGAGAAAGGCATTTTTAGGATGTGATTCATTTTTTCCTGAAGTGCACATCTAAAACAGATTAAAAATGTGTCCTAGCAATGCAATTTCCCTGCACAAACGACAAAGGAAAACTAGAATGAGCAACTCATGCAGCCATAGATGCTGTAGATGCCTAAAATTACCGAAAGAATTGCCAGATGTCACAAATGCTGCAATGTCGTTTATATCATGTCAGTGGATGCTTGAACATTATAACTATAAGGCACAAAGTTGAAATAACCCATTACTTAAAATATAAGAACCCACATGTGCTAAAACTTATGGTAAGGAATCACTATTTATCTGGTTATTTCGTCTGAAATTTTGGGGAGCTGACGGCGCCTCTGGCCTTCCATAAAGAATAACGATCAAGTTTTCTAAAAGCCAATAACACTTTTCACTTGCAAATTTTAAGAAAGTTATTTCAAATTGATTGATTGGTATTCCAGGTTGTTACTGCTAATTTTTTAGGCATCTGGCATTAATTAATTCTCCTGTATGTTTCTGTTAATGCCTATAAAATTTATCAGAAATTACCAAAATGTGAGCAACTCAGCTCCTTATGAAATGTGTTTACAGTGTATGCCATTGCATTAGCGGTCTCTAGTTCTTTACTACATTCTGTTGATTTAATAACCAGTCCACATTTCTGTGTCCAAGCATAAATATAGATAAAATATTTCTGTGTTAATTGTGGGTCTTAGTGAACTCTTTCTTTAACTAGAACATGAAAAAAGGTCAGATTCTTTTCTATGAAGAAAATTAATTAAAAGGTGAATGTTTTTAAACATAAATATGTCCACTGTTTATGTTACCCTTATGGTAGTGTCTGAGGTTTACTATGGATTACACCTCACATGAAGACCCACAAGGAGATCAGATTCATAGTTCTATTAAATCCTTTCCTTCAGTACCCCTAATAAGTTTTTGTAACCATTCTACTAGCTCAAACATTTTCCCCTTGAAATTTTTCTTTTTTCTTTCTTTTCTTTTATGCACCTCTATCTCCTGAAGCTAATTTGGGGCATGTCATCAGAGAAATGTATTCCATATGACTGCAGATATGCATACAAAATTGCTAAGGGCAAATAGGTAGAGATTGTACAATAAGTAGAGACAATGTGATGTTACATGGATGTTATATGTATTTGCCCTAATAAATTTTCTTATATCTTTAGCAAATGTAGTATCTTGTACATTTACTGGGGATTGGGATAATTTATTACAAAACCATTGTCTGAATGGAAAAAGGATTCTAAATTTCATGTTAAAAATATATATTGAAGAGCAAAGGATGAATGAATTGCAGAACCAACCCCAAATAACTTTTTTCCTCTTTAAATGTCCTTGAAGAGGATTTCAAAGTCATATGGATGGGTGCAGTGCTGTCATTTTCACAGATTTCATTTTCTTTCAGGACTGTGGTTCTCGAATTCGTCCAGAGGAGTCCTGTGGCTTGCAGCCTCTGTCTCCTGAATACCTCTCAGCAATTTCACAGACGGTGTTTAAAACCTGTGAAGCTGGAGATACAAAAGGTTTGTACTTAATCCTCTTTCTTCTGAGAATTAACTCATGCACCTCATCAAAGTAAAACTAGAAACGTTTCCTCTTTTCTACGGACACACACTAACCTATGCACGCTAACTAATCACTTTTAATAGTTATAAATTTTTAAAATCAGGTTAGTTTACATAACAATTTTTTGTTTAATAAGTTTCTAATCAGTGATCCACCACTGCTTGTGTTATTGTCATGTAGGCTTTAAAATGCACTGAAATATTTCCATCAAAACCATTTAAAATAGAAGTGCTTTATTCTAAATGGAAGGGATTATCTACTCAAAATGAAAATTAGCTTTAGAAAAAGAACACAACATTTTCATCCATTTGAATTTTATATTTCCACTTCTATATTGGAAACAGAGAAACAGTTTACAATTTCAAACAGTAAAGTGTGTGTTTTTACATATCTTGATACCTTAAAAAACAAGATGGACAAATCAAACATTATACAATAACTAATACAATCAAGACATCTCTCTGGTTTACTGAGAACTCAGATTACAACAGATTGTTGGACAGGTATTCATGTTTAGGTCACAGCTGCATGAAGGTTTATGCAAGTGTACTTTAACAAATCTGAGTAATCCCCAGGACTGCTCAGGTATGCAGTCTTATTCATAGCTTAAATTGTTGCTGGATTAGACAATAAGTAATTTTGTTCAATTCTTCATTAGACAAATGGAAAAAAACCCACACTCCTGTATGGTCTACTAACACAACTGTATTTTTTATCTTGCCATAGATAGGAGCAGCTTCTCACAGCACAATTTGCACAAACTCATGGAATAATCAATACAAAGTAAAAGGAATGTGGGAACTGCCTGAATGCATCACTTCATGTGAAACAGAGGCATATATTAATTTTGTGTTATACGAAGGGAACACACAAAGGAGACACTGTTGTACCTAGCAGTGTATTTTAATCACACAGCAAGTTGTGAATCATAAAGAAGCACAACCCATCCTATGTTACTATATCAGGACATAAAGTTCCTGACTAAAAAGCCCAAACCAAATCTGCAGAAGAGTCCTTCTGGGGCAGACAGTCTGTTTCTCCTGATACATAACATGCTTCCTCTGAATACTGCATCTAGCTAAGTGAAGCTGAATATAAAATATCTTTTACAGCCTTATTGTGAATAATATACACAATCAAAATGGAAACAAACTTCAGGAGATGTAGTCTCAAAGGACAAATGTATTAAACAGGGAAGAAAAAATTCTGCTTATAAAGTGAAGATTGCCAAGAGGTGTCTAATGACCCTAGAACTGGGGTTTGCAGTATCTGGCAACAAGTGGCTGTATAGTTTTAATGTATGTCACAACTTCCAAATGGAACTGGAAAGCATGGCTTTTTGTGGAAAATCATTCCAAATTTGTAACAACCGAATGATATCCCAATCCTGGCGGTGAACATTTTCCTAACACATACGGGAGCAATTGCAAATTCCCAGCTAAAGCAGCAACATTTCTACTTAAGTAAGTTAAATTTTCAGAGAAGCCAAGCAGCGTCATTTCCTCTCAGAAGAAAACTTAAAACTTCTGCAGAAGTAAGGCAGCGTCATGCACTGTTCTTACGCCAGGGAGCAGCTTAGTTGTGTAGGGATACTGACGTACTATCACAGCAAAATGGATCTGTGCTGGCAGACGCTGGTGTTTGTGCATACGCAGGCAGAGGCTGAGGCAGAGCGGCAGAGAGAGAGAGGAAACCTTAGTTCTTCTGACATTAATGGTAGAACTTAGAAGTCTGCTTTGCAGTTCAGTACAACCAAGATTTCACACCTCACTTCTAGTCCTTTGATGCAGTGCAGAGACAGTAGTTCAGGGTCTAACCAAAAGGCAGAACTGGCTTCCTCCTGTCCCAGTCACCATGGCATTAGTCTTTGGAGGAAGCTCAGCGTTTTACCAAATACGCACTTAATTTACACGATTTCTTTCTCTCTCTTTTTTTAAAAAAATCAATAAATGCAAATTGGAATATTCAACCAGGGAAGTTTCTCTCTTTCCATCTTTTTTAGATCGTGGAATGAAATTACAGTTTTCATGGCAACAAAAATCCTTTTCCCTTCAGAAAATCCCCTTTGATTCAATGGTGTTTGAACGAGGCTATCACAGGAAAATTAGGTCTTTCTTCAGTATTGCTGTGTTATCAATAATACAGAAGTCAGCAAGCATTAACCATGTGTTTGGCTCTTCAGAGAGAGAGAGAATTTGATAGAGACCATGAGGACCCCAAGTTGTGCTAAATTCCTGCAGGTGAATCGGCTACTGCAGTCTGTGGAAATTTGGTTTGCAGACAGTTACAAAATCTGGTGGGTAAGAGACCACAGCTTAACTTCTAATGTTCTGCCTCATGGCTGTGACGTGCACGTTTTAGTTGTATCCCAGTTTCCACACTTTCTACAACTGTATCCAGTTTAACATAATTCTGTACAAGCTCTCTCTTTGCATTCGACCACTATCTGGATTTGGGTCCAGCAGAGACATAAACTGATGTTCAACCAAATGAGTGTCTCCTTTGGTTACAAACAGTAAATTTCAGTTTGGACATAAGTCTGTAGGTCTAAGGCTATTTATTCTGTAGCATCAAAATTGTGTGCTTTTAAAAATAATTTTAGTTTTACTTTTCATAAATGCAGCTAAAAGAAAAAGAAAAAAATATTTCTATAGCCTATTCAAGGAGAAGAAGTTTTTTAAAAGTGTTAGGGTGCCAAATAGATACCAAATGTAAAAGTAAACTAGTCATAAATCAACAAACTATCTTTAGCAGCAGTGTAGGTTAAATATTTAAATTTTGAGCTGTCAGTTTAGAAAATTCTTTTCTTTTTATATGGATAATTGTTTAGCACTAGAGAAAAACTTTGATTTTGATCTTGAAAGCAAAATATGTGTTTTTGTGGCTATGACAATGGGAAGGGTTGAATAAAAATAAAAGAAGCTGAAAGAAGAAACAAAACTATCAAATTAAGTGTACAGCCTTTATTGGTTAAAACTTTTAACTTTGGGCTAATATGTTTTAAATACAAAGTAAACAGTCCTAACAAATTATTTTAAAAGTATATTTCTTTTCATGCCATTTTAGGAGAGCAGTCTTTGGGAGTACTGGTAATGTTTAATCTCATATCTTAAGCAGAAGATTTATGTATGCGACTGATAAATTGCTCTAATGAGCCAAAAATCCAGTTTACTTTCATTCTTCCTGTGGAAACCTCCTACTTACAGGCTTTCATAAAACTTTGGGTTTACCAATTTTTAATTTCTGAATAAACTAACAGCAGCTCTCTCTTTCCTGCTCTTTCATTGAATTGTAGGTAAACTTTCCCTTGCCTGGTAGAGCCAATGATAACTCTTTTAGCTGAAGCACCACAAAATGCAGGCTGATGGAAATGGTGTTGAAAGCTGCATTGTGTGCTGCTACCTTATATAAATGGGGAAAAAGCAACTTATAATTGCAATAGAAAATAAGCTTAATTTCCAAACTAATATTGATTGTTTGCAATTTTTCACTGTTAATTGTTGTGTTCTTTTACATACGAGATTCATTTTATCTTTTAACACAGTCTTATTTTTGAAGGTTAGAATGCATTGACTAACTGTTGTGAAGTTACAATAGGAAAAGTTCATAATAATTGGATTAAAAATGCGTAAATTTACATGCCTCATTTAAAAAATCTATGTAAATGTAAAAACTACAACTATTCTGTTAGCATTAAATGTCAGTGCTTCCTATAAACATGAGTTTATCTCCATATATCCTTAATCTCTAATTTTTTTACACTTGCCACTAACCTTTAGCATATGCCAAAAATGGATCTATTTTTTTCTTAATATACCTAGAGAGCTATTGAATATAAATCAAACAAACTATTTGAAGGAAGCTTTTCAAAAGGTACTTATCACTTTCTGTTGCCAAAGTTTAAACTTTTATTGTTCAGATGTCTCAGCTTCTCAATATTCATTTTATATAGTTCTACTTTTCTCGTTTATTACCTAAAACCAGATCAGCTCATAAATGTGTGGGATGTTAAGAAGAAAATTCCATAAAATGAGGGATCTCAGATGTTGTAGACATTGCCAGAACTTTTATGTATTTGGTTTGAAAGAAAAATTACAACGTCAGGAAAAAACCTGCCCAGTTTTCATATAATTTTTAAATGTGAACCACTGCCCAAACCAACTTTCAGATCATTTATGAAGAACGCTACAGTAGTGGTAGTCTCAGAGTCCAGACCTCAAACCAACCAACCATTCTGTCCCTGCTCTGTTACTGAAAAGGCACAAAGCAATAAAAGGTATTTGCATGGCACCTATTGCTGCGTTATCTGAGACCTTGCACTTTTCTGTCTCTTCGTACGACTGCTACGAAGCTGGGAATGGTCCTTTAGCCATGGATTGCAAAGGGGGTGCAGAGGGAGCTGAGGGCAAGATCCACAAGTGACGACAGAAATCTTGGGGGGTCAAAGCAAGCCTAGCCCCAGTGGTGGCCAGGAGGCCACAACCTCGAGCAAGGGACCTCAAAGGCAAGGGAGGGCCAGCGTGAGGAAGGGATTCACAATGGCCGGCACTGGAGGCTGCAAGAAAGAGGAATTGTCTAAATTCAGCCCTCGGTTTCCCAGCTGAGCAGAATATTCAGCTGGAAAAGCACTCCCTGCTCCAGAGCCTGGTTATCCACTGTGTACCTTTAGATAAAGATTCACTTTAACCCCTAGATAAAAAGTATACATAGGATCTTGCCCAGGGACCAAAGTTCAGGTCTCTCTTCTCCCGCCCCAAATTACCAGGCTACAATCACGCTATTTTACTGTCCTAATGAATTTTGAATTTTAAAGTGGTCCTCAGCTGATAAGAAGAGTGGGGAGCGTTGTCCTTAAGGACAAACAGCTGGGTGATTAGGACACAGACAATGCAAGTTTGAAATTCCTCTGAGCCAGGGGCGCTGGGCAGCTCCGTCTCCCCGCTTGCACCCCACCACCATGGTCCTGAGCATCCCTCCTTCCCCGCCTTCCTCCATGCTGAACCGGGCTGCTTGCCCAGCGGCAGCCTTCAGGAGGCACCTGCGCCCATGGGAACCGGGGGAGCTGGGTTATGCTTACTGACCCACAGCGTGGCAAAGTCAGGGTCCAGGCTTTTATTTAGGTTCCGTCTGCCATTATTTGCTGCACATCATCTGCAAGGGGAGCTGAGGGTGGGGTGAGCGTGTTCTGCGCAGGGCAGAAGTAGCAGCAGCTGTGCAGGCTACGCAGCAGATGGAGCTGCGGTGGGATATATTCTGCCCTTAGACGTACCAGCGCGGGCTCTCGTACAAACAATTCTTGGTGCTTTTATTTAGGACTTCTTTATCTGCTAAAACAACTCACCCTGCTACTTGCCAAAACATACTCGCTTGGGACTTGCTCAGTGCGAGCGCAGGCTGCCTCCCTGGAAATTCCCTTGCTCCTGAGGTAGCAGCTGACTCTCCCAAGGCTGCTGGGATCTGCAGGATTGCTTCGGCCAGCCTCCCACTCGGTCCCCAGCCTGATAAAAGTCGATAGGCAGCAGCCTTGGTTTTTTGCTCCGGCTTCTTGTGCAGCAGCAATCTATCAATCACACACAGCAAAGCACACCCAGCTGGCTGCGGAGCTGCTGTCTGGTAGCAGTGACAGTCACGAACTCTAAGGCCAGGTCTACTCTGCAAACATTTGCTTTTGGAGCTGTTTGCTGGGCTGTGGTGAGAAACCCCGCTGTGCTAGCAAGGCCTGATAGCATTGACACAAGGACCTGGGGGCCTCCGTGGTGTTCCTCGTGTAATGCCTTTAATCAGAGCAAACGCAGGTTTTGCTAGCAGAGCTACACAGACATTGGGAAATATTGTCAGGATGATACACCTTTGTGGGCTAGAAAAAGCGTTTCTTGCATTGATCTGAATATAAAGGCAGCTAAAAAGTTTTCTGTCTTCCTTCAGAAGTTAAATCCCTCAGACTTCCTGTAGGATTTTGGAAATGAACAGCTTTAGAAAACCAAAATAACAAAACCATTCAACCTTAGGTAAGAAATGCCTAAAACCCACTGACTTTTGGTAATCCCACTTTATGCTCCTGATCTGCAAAATCATTTTTGAAAATAGGGATCAGGCTGTAATAAATCACATAGGTTATTCATCTCACCTTACTTTCACCTTCGAAATGTATATGTGTAACCTGGGACAGTCCTCTGAATTCTCACAAGTTAAAGAAATAAGTATTTTCGAGGGGAAGTCAGCCTCTCTTGCTTCATTTTTCTGTCAAGGGGCTCTCAAAGTCTAGCTTCAACCAGCGACCCAACTTTTAGATGTTTAGTTGTAGATAAGAATGAATCTTGTCTTTAGACCCTTCTGAATGTAAGTATTTTCTTTTTGCATTCACCCTCCTCGCCCCCTTTCCCTTTCTCATATCCCTTCTGTGGAGAAAGGACAAGCTGCTATGAGAAAGGCAACAGGAACTGGGAAACAAACCCACAAACAACTGTCAAATTTGAGCGTTTGCAGCTCTTTCAGGGAAAGGAAAAACTCCCACCATAGCTAAATGAAAAGGGCATAACACAGAGGAAGAAATAGTCTCTTCAAAGGGTTGGGGGACATTTAATATAGGGAAAACTCCCATGACAAAATACTCAAAAAATATCTCACTTGCTGTATAATAAAGCTACTCACAAAAATACAGGGAGGTACTGACATCCTGTTGCTGTTTTCCAGGGCAGTGGATTGTCCCTTGCCTCAGCTGCTCTGACAACAGGACCTGCGACTGGAGAGAAATAACGTGGCAGCCCCACGGCTGCCGATACTCAGTGCTAGCCAAGCCCGAGCTCCAGCGCTGTGTGGAGGGCAGAAGGGTACGTAACAGATTTTACATTTAAATTCATTTTTATTTACCTGGAGGTTTAGTGTCCTGAAGCTTTAAAAACAATTTTATGATTGATGTGTAAGAAAAATCCCTTTTTATTATAACTGGAAAAAGATTCGGATGGAAAACCACGGGGACGAAAACCAACCGTTATCCATAATTTAGCCTCATACGCAGACACAGTTGTCTGCTGCCATTTCACATGGGAGCTTAGGTCACACCAGCGGAGTTTCAAGACCTACGGTGTATGTGGTTACCAGGTAGACCTGCAGTGAGTACATAAGGACCGTAAATGGAGGATGGATTTGCATTGTTGTCACAGTTTGTCTCACACTTGACATGCAAGTTGGGTTTCTTCTGCTGCATACCTAATGCATGGCATTGCTTGTGCACACTAATCTTACCAAGTCTTCTTGCACATTCTTTTCTTGTAGTGAAGCTTCTAAGGTGATTGCTTGGAAATACAAGGTCTCCTTAATAAGCATGCTATGACTGTAAAACTGTTGAGAGAGAGCTCTGATCTGAGGCTCAGGTACCTTACTGAGGATACAAGTATCCAGAAAGTAAGTAATTAATTGTTATCAAGATTTTTATAGTGTATTGTTCAGGTAAGAAAGTAGTAACTAAAAGTGGCATTTTGATAAAATCCAAGAGCATTTCTGTATAGACAAATACAAAAATAATAGTCTTTCAATTAACATTTCCTCCTTCTTTTCTGGGAATTTCTTGTCCTGCACAAAGTCCTTCATTGCCATTTGGCTTTATTCCTGCCTGTGGTTTTCTCCATTACTGTAGGGCTGTGGGTTTCTCCTAACATATTTTTCTAAAAAACCATAGGTTTATATGACAGAGGAGAAGCCTGATTTGCTCCTCATGTACAAAACAAGCACTTCTGGATTGACCACAGCAAAAAATATAGAAGAATTTCATAGCTTTGCTTTGGTCTTTCATTTCCATAGACATCGGGCTGTTTCAATAAGCAAACACCCTTTGGTCAGACAATTGAAGGATAGCAGAGGAACAATATGCCGCTAAGGAAGTGGATTGCCAGGGTATTGCTGGGAGGATTATGCTGATGTTCCTGCCTCCTGAATCCGACCACTCACATTCACCAGTGTCAAAAACAGGACAGCATTTGTTAAGGGTCCGTTAAAACCAACTATATGAAATGTTTGTGAGCTTGATTTCTTAATTCAAATTCCACTATGTTCTGACTCTCTGAGGTCACTGATCTATTCTAGTGTCAGATGAGAGCCAGATCCTATGTGATCTACACTAACGCCATGCAAGAAAAATCTCTGTAAAACTAATTGCAGTTGTTTCCCATTCTGCATCTTCTGCAAAAGTCTTCCGTCATTGTCTGATAACCTTCACTGCTCTGTAGAAATCTGCTGAATCATTCCTGTTACCTTTGCACAGATGTCTATGTAACTGGTTTATTCTTTTAACGTCATCACTCTAGCGCATGTTCCCCTTTTGGTATATTTCTCCGATATCTTTCCCTCTGATGTTATTTTTGTCATCACTTTGCAGTGGTTTTGTGTGGCATTTTGCAATAGCATTTTTGTTTCCTTCACCAAAACAATAAATGTAGAGCCTGGACCAACTCCCTCATGTCAGTAGAACTTAAGAACTAAGAAAGACTTTCTTCATACCTAAGTCAGATGACTAAAAATTGTCCTCTGCTTGGGTGATAAGGTCCTGATTCTGCCTATGATTAAGAGAAACTTTAGAATTACTTTACACAGTCTAAGCAATGTAGTAGAAGAAGGTGTTTTTTTTTCAGGTGCTCAGTGAAAGAGACTTTTGCCTGTCAGTTGCATTGTATGCTATTATATATGTTCAAGCAACCTGGATCTTTTATAAGGGGGCTATTGAGTAGCCAGCAAGATATAATTCTTGTGAACAAATACATTTTTAGTACACAAGAGATTTCGGTAACCATCTATAAATATTTGTATTTCCTAATGTGTGATATTAGTTTCAAACCATTATATATCTTGTCTTTGAGCACTACAGAGATCACTGACTTCTCAAACTAATGACATCATAGTTTCCATAATAAAATAAGCGGAAGGTTTCAACACTAGAAATGTAAGCAGACTGCAAAAAAAGCATGAGTGCAAAACGTAAGGGCAAAAATCATCAACCCAAGTGAGGACACTGAGATGATCTAGAATGCAGTTTGATTTATATTGTCATTTGTTGAAGTTAGCTAAGAACAACAGAACTCACTCATGTGTCCACGTCTCAAAATGGGCTCAACTAACCTATGTGCCTCTGTATTCTGGGGTTTTTTAGTATGCCACCACACTTTGAATATTCAGCTTGTGTAACTTCGGTCTCTGGAGTTTAAAATCCTTTACAAAGGAGTCATGTATCATGATCTACATCTGGATTCTTGCTCAAAGTTTATTCTGAACTAAGGCAGTAAGACCTCCATACACCCCACATAATTACCAATCCTTCCTCAGGAAAGCAGAGACATGTATATCTGTAGCATCTTTGGGTCAAATGACATCATACCTTCCATCACAACACTAACAGTCCTCTGTGACTGAATTTCACTTCTGAATACCTTCATAAAAAATTCTGAGTCATGCAAGATTTCACCAGGAATTACAGGTAAAGCAAGACATCTGTGATCCACTAGGCTGACGTCTCTGATTTTTGTCCTGGAAAAAATATAATTGGGTTTCACTATTCTGATCCACTGGCTTTACTTCTTACAATTAAAAACATCGTGACAAGACATTATAAACAACATAAGTGTCTGTGATTATGTCTTTTCTTCTAAAAAGGAGGTGTTAATCTTTATGTCGCTGTCAAATTCCAACTATGATAACTGCAGGCTGTTTTCTTATGCTCCCCTATTAGTTTTGTATGAAAAAAAGAAAAAGCCTACTTGTCTTTCTACTTTTAATGAATGTGAAGGGAAGCATGCAATGACTTAACCATTGCTGTGCTGTGTCCATGATCTGGGTGCACTTCAGGAATTAATGAAATAATATGTAAAGGGAATGCTCTTTTTGGCTGAAATGCAGCACATGTACCTTTAAGTGCAATCATTCTGTTTTTCTCATGTTTCATAGAACAACAGTAAAATGCAGCATTCAGATGTGTCTCTTGCTTATTTATTTCTTTTATGAAATTTTCAGTGTTTCTGAAATATGTTTATGGTCACCCAAACAGAGCCTTTCTTTCCTATCTGCATCATAAATAAGCCCTAAAAAATGCTTTCTAATTTGTTTTCTAACTCCAGGCTGCTTTCATGTCTTATTTTAAAATTGATTTGCTTTTCAGAGCTCATCTCTAAAATTGTCATCTCCTTTCTCTATGACAGAAATCCATTTTCCCTGGCTATGACTTCCAATTGATTTCACATCATCATTAACTGCTGTTTTTGTTTGTGTGCATGTTAGTTGTGTGCAAAATTAGTTTGGTTTTGTCTGTGTTTGAGCTAAGTTGTCTCTGTTTCATAAAAACATAAGACCACCTGTAGCGAAACAATAACACTCAGATTGTTTGAGACATGAGAAAGGATATACATCCACAAAAACAGTTTCAGGCCTTATTTTGCTTTACGATGTGTTAGCAAGACTAGTCAGACATATGTTTGCATTTCAGACACAGTAAACAGGAAAATTTTGAAGTGTTGAGGCTAAGGTGATTCTAGCTGAGTAGATTTTCATTCAGTCCACTTTTAATATCTGCAGTCTTTTTTCTCCTCCATTTTAAACTCTTACTAAGGCTAACAAGGTGCAGGCTGTGTTGTTCTTAGGGAGGTCCACATGTATGTCCTAATAGAATCAAAGAGAGAAGCAATCATAATAAAAATATTATATCTGTATTATATTGGCTCAACAAAATCCTCTGTAACTGTGGTTAATGAGTTTTTGCTGTAAGATTTATACAATTCTGTTAAGACATGATGCTTTGATTTTTGTGCAAGAACTTCAAAAAATGGGTGAAGGAAAAGGGGTTCTAACAGGTAATTATTTATCCAATTAGCAGCGTATAGAAAGCTGGCCTCAATAGCAGAGGGGATATGTATTTTGTTTATCATTGAGAAATACTACTCAGAGTTTAGTCTTATAATAAAGTACCATTGAGTCATGTGTAATTAAGAACAGGAAATATGAAAAGGCAATATTTGCTGAAGTACTTAAAATTCAGCTGTTAAAACAGGAATTTTAACTTAAAATTTCTTAATAATATTTTAGAGTTAAGTAGTGTTTTGGAGTTACAGGTGTTTAAATTTCCTAAGTGTGGTTAATTTATAATGATAGGTCTGGTTGAGAAGTGAATTCCACTATGCTTACACAATCTTTTAAAGCCTTTAAGCTATAATGGAATTTTTCACACAAAACATTTGCAACAGAAGACACTGAAAACATCTGTCTGTGTGAAAGCGTTGGGTTTTGTCTGGTAAAATTATAACCTTATGTATGTCTGATCCTTTAGTCATCCTGTAGACAAATGCCCCATTGACCTGAACAGTACATGACTAAGCCTTGTGCCAGACTGTAAGGAAAATGAGATATGGCATATTCTACACACCTGAGCCATCATTTTGCTCATTATCGTCATAGAGCTAAATACAGAATCATCCCTAGAGCCCTTGGTTCAAATTATATGAAATACCACGTGACACACACAACTACAGTAAGTTCATGCAACCATATAGAAATAAATGTGGCCATAGCTACCACACATTCAATTACACTAAGTGATTATTGGAATTCATTGAAGCTCTTGGGTTAGTTGAAGGACATAAATTTTCTTGCTGGGGCTAAACATTGCTTATTTTAGCCTTTGCATCTTCCAAGCATTTGCTGAAAATGAAGCTGACTTGCAAAAGGTGGACTTTGAAAGGTGCTTTCTGATGGCCTGCATACCCCAACAAAATGTGCTTGGCCAGCTCGCACAAGGGCAGTTTGAAAAGCAGGTAGGATTACCTACAAATGTCCTCTTCTTCAACCTCAATTTTTTTTTAGGGAAAAGAAAAAGAAGAGTTTGTTTACTTTTCCAGGATTTACATGTCTCATAGCATGGTTGATCCAATAGTTAGAAGCAGATTGTTGGATGCAGACATGGTCTTAATGAATGGATGCTTTGTGTGTGGATTTGCTGGTGATGTGCTGTGCATCCACTGGATACACTGGATTACAAGGGATGCATATCATTCTATCTGACATCTTCTCTGGACTTACGGGAGAGCATTCCCTTCAAAATCCCCAAACTGCTGATACCTTCTCATGAAGACTGCAAACAGACTTCAGAGCTCTCCATCAGGACTGGAGGGCAGGGACCATAGGTTTCACATAATGCAGTCCTGGTTTTAATGACATATCTTTCAACAATGCTGTGATTTCACTGTGAAAGACGTAGCTGGAGTTAAACAGATTTGCTTGATTCCAGAGATACAGTCCTGGTATGGCTCATACTTACCTGAACAGTCAAAGGCTTCTTGACTGAAAGCCAACATGGTTGCTATAATTGACTGACATCTTTGAGGATGACCTACACTTTTGGTCTGGCTTTCCGTACAACCACAAGTCCACTTTGGCTCATTTCTCTCTTCCCCACTTACATCAAGTCTTGACTATTCTTTTAGCAGACTTTCTGAGTGTTCAGGTTAATTTCCCTAGTGAAACAACTTGTCTTCCTCACCAATGTGATGTTGCCATCTGTCTCACTCCTGACTCATCCGGCTCAGCCACACCTTCTTCTAGGAACAAGTGTACATTCCCACATGGACACTCAGACACTCAATAGCATTAGCTGTCTGATCTGATCTCCTGAGCTTCTGCTTTACCTCCTCATAAGAAGCTCACTTAAGAGTGAAAATGGAGATATTCTGAGGCTCAGAACTCACTCTTTCCAAGATGGGCTGTGGGCAGTCTCATCAGTCTTGTGATAATTTTTTTAGATGTCTGGGCCCTAACAGTTATCTGTTTCATACAGTTATACTGACTACTCTAAAGGAATCTGCTCTGACTCCTGTCACCCCCTTCATGTTCTCAAAACATCAGGACAACAACAACAGTACTATTCTAAGGCCCACCTGATATTTTCCTATGGTGCCCAGCATCATGCCATTTACAGACTAGAACTGCCACTTTTAAGAGGTGATCGTCCCTAACTTGTCTCTCTTGGTACTGGTTTTCTAAATGGCTGCACATAGTGCCCTCCCATCCGCAGACCTGGCCAGCTAGGTACCCCAGCACAGCCTTGAAAACTCATTCATGGATCCACCACTTGTGTGTGTGTGTGTGTGTAGGTGTAGAAACTGTAAAGCCCTACAATGCTAAAGTATTGAATCATGTAAATGGGGGTGGGGGGTGGGATGGGGTGGTGGTGTTGTATGATTTGCTCTAATTTTGACATAAAAAAATGGGAAGGAGACTGAGGAGTCAATCTCAGTCTTTGATGCTCTGCAATGTTTGAGACTTTGGGAATATTTAGAATGACACTTCACACTTAAATTGCTAGAGAATACACAATGTTGGCAAAGCAAGACATCTGTGCATCATGTTCATTGGCCTTCACCGTGGTTCTTCTCTCCTTTTTTTCCATGAAGGGTGTTGTTCTGCTGTTTGAAATCAGTGGTAGATGAGATTAGACCAAATACAGTTAGAAGAAGAAAATATCTATCTGAATCTTAGTCACAGTAGAATGAAGAGTGAATTAAAAATGCCACATCTGCCAAATCAGTGTAATTAATAGCTGAATATGCTCCTTTGCAATTAGAAGTCCCTATGTGCAGTGATAACAAAATGGTATTGTATGTTATTAGAAGTAGAAGAGAAACAATCTAGCATGTACTACCAACTGCTCTATGTGTGTAACCTGGTGGAGCCTGTTTGTTATTCTGCTAATGATGTGTTGTGTTTCTACAGAAATGTTCTCACCCACATTGCAAGTTAATGATATCCTTGCCTGCTAATATCTGAGAACTGCTTTTTAAATAGATACACATCTAGATACTACAGTGATGGACTTATGAAATGGAGATTAAAGATACATAGATATAGACAGACCGGAGAGATTAACAGATTTTGCAAGTTAAAAGAATTGTTGTTTAAAACCTCAAGTTAACCTACTTTAAAATTAGGACATATTGTAAGCATGGACTGTCTTCCTAATTGTGCATGTTTGAGTCTGTCAGAAGAGGGAAAGAAAGAATATCTAACCAGGCCTTCCAAGGACCCAAGGATCCTTGACTTCTGTGAGTCATGTTATGCTTGGTTTAAAGAGGTTTCTTCTGACACGATGTGAAAAGAGTTGGAAATCCCCTTGCATGTGAGAGGAGTGCTTGTGCAGTACAAGCATGAACAGCAGCTGTTTAAGAATTTACTCTATGAAGCAGCTTTGAGAGGTCCAGGACAGGAGGTAAAAGAGCCTCTATGTGCTTAGTGCTTGTTTTAATTTCTTTGCTACTATACATAATCTATCAAGGGCTTCTCTGCAGTCCATGATGGGCAAGGCATGGGAAGTTTAAGTCATTGTCATGCCTATTCTTGGCCCTGCCACCAGATAGGTTATGTTCACCTGAAACTGCTTCTGCTCTGTGGGAACCATCATTGGTACACTGTTGTGGCTTATTTTTAATCACAATAGGTTCATAGTGGGAACTGGAATCAGTTCCTAAAACTGTGTCATTCCTGAAGGGAACAGATAAATAGAGATGTGATAGATGAGAGGAGTCCAAGATGCTTTCACCACATGAAATCTCTAAGAGAAGCTTTGGAAATGTATTCTTGAACATGTAATCTTGTGGAGTCTGAATTCTATTTGCATAACCAAATATTCAAGGTGGAAGTGGTAAAGCATCAAACCCCAAATCAAATTAAGAAAGCAAACAACAAAAACCCAACTTAGAGGGTGGGTGCCAGAGCAGGTAGGAGAAACCCTGTGCAGAGAACTGGGCTGTTACTGTGTTATGGATCTATGGGGTTTCTGACTCCCAGTTTTACATTTATGCTCCTCTATGTGGATTTCTGGCTGAGGTGACTGTGGTAATAACCGACTATGCACACAGTTTCATTGGCAAATGACAGTGAACCTGAGTTCTCTTCCCCTTTGGACTCTTGTCATTGCTTACACGTCCTCTTCTGCAGGAGGAAATGCTAGTCCTGTCCACTAAAAATAGGGCAGTTACATTAAAAAAAACACGTTAAGTTTTGTGGTCTCCACATACAGAGATGCTTGATTTGTCAGGGGATTCTACAGAATAAGTAGGAGCAAGCCCAAATCTTACTTCTTCGTTCATTTGCAAGTTCAGAGTAGCCCAGCAGACTGCTGATATTTGAAGTACTTCTGTCATCCTGGCAGCACTTCTAACTCCCTTCAGGCCACGATGCTTCCTGGTGGTCACATCACACATGCCAGGACTCTATTCAGATTATCTTCCACCAGAATAACTCCCCTTTTTTTCCCCTCTGAAACTGCAGAAAGACCATTTCTCTACAAATAAGGCAGCAGCTGCATCCATTGATATGTGTGTGTGTGTGTGTGTTACTTTGGTGTAAATTCTGATGAATCACATTTATGGAAGACAGACATTAACCAAGACAGACATTAACCAAGATGTGCTGTGTAGGAGCAAGCCACATGAAAAACTGGAGGAACAAAAGCAGGAAACTGCAAGCAATCACAAGAGGCTCTGTACTAGCAATTGGAAGTAAATATAAACATAAGCAAAAGAAATTATCAACAAGGATGAAAATGCAGGGCTAACTGTGCAGCTATAGCCATCTGTAACCTGTACTTTTTGTCTTTGAAACACATAATGTAGCTTTTTGTTAATCAGATCACACAGATTTTGCTGAAGCAGAACTTTAGTATTGAGATGTCAGGGCTAGAGAACTGGCAGCTCACAGAGATATTTCTTGAACATTATAAGAAGTGTTTAAAAACCTGCAAAGTAGCTGTATTCTTTTCTTCGCTTTTGGTTTTTGGAATGTACAACTTCTAAGTCACACCTTTTTTTCCATCCAAAGATTCTTTTTATAGGTGACTCAACTAACAGAGGGATGATGTACTATCTAATAGAAAGGGTAAATAAGACTCTTCAGGAATGGCAAAAGACTCATGATGTTAAATGTTATCATAATATCAATGAGGGGAAAACATTTATCAGTTACTCCTACTACCCCCAGTTTTGGATGAACGCAAACCAGAGACCGACTTTTGAAAAAGCACTAGAACAACTGCTGCAGAGGTACTGTACAAACTCTATTGCTGGCTTGTTTGTATTCTCATTCTATTCACAAATGTGTTTAACACATTTTACAATTAAAGTCCATAAACAATTAAACATAATGTGTGCAGACCGTATTGTGTGGTTGAAAAATAGTAGAAAATTACATCAGGCCTCTGATCAGGATGCCAGATACAGTTCACTGAAATGCAGTGCAGTGCAGTTAAAATGTTTGCCATCTGTTTTAAGGCAACATGTGTTGTTTTTCCTTTCTGGGTTTCAGATCACGTCCCCTGGAGAACACAGACCAGACCGTATTAATTGTAGGTGGCGTTCAGTGGCTTAATTCCAATCACCTGCAAATTATCCAAAAGGTGTTGAACAGGTAATGTTATGTACTTGGTGTTATTCCAAATCTTGATATGATAAATTATGAGAAACAACTTGACAAAAATTTTTAAACACAAACATTTCATTTGTTTTCTCATGGGTGTGCACTTAAGTGACTTTAAAAAAATAAAAATGCAATGTCTTTTGATGTGTCTGATAAGTAAAATGTGTGTCCTTTTTTTTTTTCATTCGCTAAACAGGGAAAATCTATCAAATATCCTGGTAATTATCAAATCCATAGGGATGGGCTTTCACCTCCCAGTGGATGGAATACATTCTCTGTCACAGGTAAGCTACAGTACATTTAGAATGCATTTTCACGGAAGACTTGTCATTTCAGCAATAATTTTGCTGTCTGGTCAAAATATGTTACAACCTCTGCTGAGCAAGCTTTAGGTGGATCAAAGAAGAATTAGTGTTTGCCTTTGCTCATACTGCTTGCTAATACGGATTCAAACTAATTTGCCTTATTTTGTGGATTCCACCGCAATCAGAGCACTGTTCAAGACGCCGCGCTCAATCAGCCATCCCAAGAACCAGAAGAAGCTCCAATATTAAGCCTGCTGCCAAAGTTGAGAAATCGAGCTGGGGATAGGCAGATTGCTCCATGTACCACGTCAAGCACAGGCCCTCCCCAGGCTTCCTCCATGGTTACTGCCGGATCAGATTCACTGGTCTGGCTGCACTGCACGGCTCTCCATAAATCTATCTAAACCAACCTATGAAGCCAGAACATTACAGAGCAGCTGGAATGGACCGGTGAATCCAGCCTGTTATTTGTATATTAATCGGATGTTACAGTCAGTTTAAATCATATCCAAGACTCTCAGAGTAACAGATGGGCTCATTTCAATGTGCTCTGTAACTCATTCAATTCAATATTTTTATTTACAATTTGGGCGGTAGTTCTCTATTGAACACATATAAAATGCGCGGATGAGACGGGGCTGGGAAGCGCCGGAGGGCAGAACGGAGTAAATGATGCCTACCAGTGCTCCAGCTATTCACAGGTGTTGAAAAGAGAAAATTATTAGCTTTCACAGTTTACGTACAGCACTCCTATCACACTGGGGACTGGCGCCAATGTCTTTTTGCAGCCATAACACACTGCTATATTCAGTGTATGACTTACTGCTGCTCGCACCCTTCTTTTCACTGTGGAGGCTGCCCTGTCAGATTTTGCCCATTTTTTCTAAGTTAGTACTATCTGCTTTGTCTCTACTGAATGTCTTCTTACTGATTCCAACCATTTCCTTAATTTATCCGGATGACCAAATTAGGATACAGTAGGGAAATCGTTGGCATCAAGATGATGCCATCAGTATGAGTTGTTGTAGCTCCTGCCATAGCTTTCAGCAGAGTTTAGTCCTAGGACGAAGCAGCAGAACTTTGATCGAAGGTAGGTGAGGAAAGCATAGAAAGAGTATTAAAGGCTTCCCAGGACTACCTTTTTCTGTTTCTCATCCAGTAAATTTATAAAACTCCAGAAATCAACTACAGTGCATAACTGACATTCTTTTCCCTTTCAATATTGGAATCATATGCCAAATTACCCATGTGGTTTGGGTGCTCTGGACTTCTGGATTACCCCAGCTACTCTTAAAGCCCTTCTGTCTGCAGTATCAAATCCACCGCCTTACCAGATTTATGGCTAACCTTTTTTCTGTTCCTGGCCTTCCTGCAGTATCCTGAGAATACTGAGAATAATCTGTTCTTCAGTATAACCGTTTCTAAAATACCCATAGCCCTATACTCCTTTTTAATCAACAGTCTCAATGACTTTGATTTGAAGCTGAATTTTTCTTTACAGGAACAATTTCACCATTTGTTGCAGACAACTTTATAATAGATTTTTTTTTTTCTGAATTACACCTCATATAGGCTAAATACATATTAAAAAGTTACCCAGTAATTATATTTTAAACAACATTGAAATCTTCCTATGAAGGAAGCTGCACAACTACTGAAAATTAATTATAAGTTCTGCAGAAGTCTACAACAGTCTTGGAGTAATAGCTATTTTCAAGATTGAATTTATAGTAATTCATGTCTGGAGTGTAACATAATTGCTTTATTCAAAATGCAGTTTTGCTATTCATTTCCATACAATAACCTTTAAACAGTCCTTCTGACAAGACATTGCAATATTTTATCTGGAATGCAGGCAGAAGTGCAAAACTTATGGAATGAAAACTTGATTCTTCTGGATACAGCAAAAAATTTCGGCTATGAAGTTGTTGACACCTTTGTCATCACCATGGGACGTTACAAAGAATTCCTGCAAGGGAAGTGTGGCTGCCATTTCCATGAGGTAATAGTTTACACTTGTATCATTCCCAGGTATTTAAGAGAGATTTTAACTGTCGGGTGCTTAGAAGGTATGCAACAAGGTTCACATACGTGACTCAAAGTTAGGCCTGAATAAAATCAATGGAGATAGCAGTTTGTATGGCAGCACTTGTCCCTCGCCGCTCAGAGTGCAACGCTGCCGGAAGATGGGCCGAACTGCTGTAGTGGTTATTCCTTGAAATAAAAACAAGCATGCTCTTCTGCAAAGGTAACCCCTGTAGAAGGATGTTGCACCGTTTCCAGGTTCTTATATTATTTGCTGTGCGTTACATATTCCTACTGCTTCCGCATGGACTCAGTTTATCTTTTTGCCATACCTCAGTCTCACAGGTTTTTTGTATGAAGCGTTCCTAACTAAGCAGCTCAGCAGAATCCCATCGAACCATAGGTACATTTAAAATGGAGCTTAAAATTGAAAGACCAACCTTAGTGCTGTATATGTTGTTGTATGTCTGAGAGAGAGTTATCTGGGGTAGTTACAGTGACCGACTATACAAACAGAAGCATAAGTCTCTTGTTCTCACTCACGCCCATAATTCTGGTTTCTTTTTTGTCTGAAATCTATAGAAATTCTGTCTTCTGTTTTCTAACTACTGGACTGGTGAAACGGGGACATGGCAAAATATGTGAGTAGGGCAGTTGAGAACATATCCTTCTCTTCTTTCAAAGTTCTGGCAAGGAATCTTCAAAATATATTACAAATGAGAGGAGCCCATGGATTAAATAAAAAAATGAATAAGCAAACACATTATTATATCTAGGCACAAAATCAGCCCAGAGGCTGCCAAACCAGTGAAAGTAAAGAGTTTGAAAAACACGATATTTAAAGTTTTTCTGGTTTCCTTTAAGATGTATTTTGAGTATGTGGTATGTCTTTTTATAGTGAGTGCTATTCCCCATCAGCAAAGGAGGGATCTGTTTTAGTTTTGATTTTCTTGTACCTTATGTATAGCAAATGAAGAAGTGCACCCCTAGTTTGGTGCAGGCAACCCTGAATGAAAACAGAGTATAATTTCTGAGTAGTCAAGTAAGCAGGTACCCTCTGCCATAAGGCTGATGACAGTAATTTTGCATATGAAAGTTAAAGAACTCTCACCACCAGACTATTCCTGTAGCTTCCAACCAAGTCCTTCCTCATACCCATGCCACCAACTTGTTGGTATAAAATGCCAGTTCCTAGGTTCCTGTTATGAGTGGTCAGTCTGCTGAGAATCCAAACGTGTCATTCATTGCCCTAAAGAAGAGCCATGAATATTACATTACTCCCTTTGGAAACCAGAAAAAGCTTTGAGGAATAAAGTAGGCTCCTATCTTTCCAGGTGCTTAGCTCCTGATTCCCAGTAAAAAATATTTCTTCAGTGAGAACTGGAATCATGCACTCAGACATCATCAGTAACCCCATGCCTCAATTCATTGCCAGATGTAAGGGCAGAGAAGCCTTCTGCTACTTCTATAGATAAAGTCATGTTTAGCACAGTAAGAAATTGCATGTGATGCTACAAGGATCTTCATTCTTATGAACCGAATCTGGGTTGTCTGTTTAACAAAAGACTAGGAAACTACCACAATTTATTCCATTAAAATCTGTTTAGGACCATAAAACTTGAACTGTCATATCTTTCAGGAAGATTGCATTTCCTCTGAGTGATCAAAGGAGAGAGGACACATGTAAGTTCTTTCACAGAATGTAATATAGAATGAAAAGAAATGGTTACCAAAAAGTTAAAACTGGAGGAAAAAAAAGGATGCAATGAAATAAGTCTCTTTGAAACCAAGAGTTAATGAATTTATGCTGTTTCACAGTCAGCTGGAGGCTTTGAGCCAGTAAAAAGCTACTAGTTGGAAGAAATCTCAAGAGTTTGGTTAATGACTAGAATAATGACACAAGCAATTTGTATCATTTAGAAGACAGAACTCCACAAGTTAATTCTTATGGCGAAAACCCTAGAACTTTTTTTCTTACCGTTATCAAAAGTGCACAAATATTAAAAAAGACTATCACCCATGCAAGTGAAATGCTAGCATTTTTTCAGCATGAATTTAGGAATTTGTTTTCTGCCAAAACAAATTACTTCAAATAAGAGAGACCACCAAATGTTTTCTGAACCTCTCAAGAGAAGGATAAAATCCATTTGCTTATTTTGCCAAGTCATGCCTATTTTTCTGTAAGCCTCACTCTTGGCCAGACCTGTTCCCAGGACCTGGACGTGTGCAGGGTTAACACAGGAGCTCCACAGAGCTTCACAGGTGCAAAGGTGGGCCATGACACCAGGAATAAAGTGGAAGCACTAACTTTTGCTGTGAAGAAATGTCAGGATAGCTATGATATATTTTTCTAAAAGATGCGAAAGAAGCAAAGACCTAAAAATAAGGTTTCCTTCATCAGACACCCACAGTATACACTGGAAAACAAAATATACTGTGGCTAATTAAACCTAGGAGTAGTTTAAAACAAACAAACAAACTGAAATTCAGTCGTGATGACTGAATTCAAGCATAGGCTCTGGCATGTCCTTGTGGTGTCTGCTGGCCAAGGACTAGCATAGCAAGCCTAACTTTTTTCTTGTAGCCAGTGGATTATATTTAATTCTTTCAGCCACAGCAGTCACCTTTGCATAAAGCAGAATAAAAACCAGAATAACTGTAAGGCTTTGATTTTTCTCCTTAAATATCACAGAGATATAATATCAGAGACAGTCTGCTGGACAACAAATGCGTTCCCAAAAGAGAGTGGGGAGGCAATCACCTGCCACTGGTTGGGCTTCTGCTCCAGTATGAGGCTCACTGGGACTGAGCAGAGGTTTGGGAGCGTTGTCAGACCCGTCTGACCTCACGTGCTGTGTGTCAACCTCACAGCTGGTTTCCACGTCAGGCTCCTCAGCAGCTCACATGTTTTCGGCCCACTGCCATGGCCTCTGTCCTGCTTTGGGACCAAACACAGCAGGCGTGGTTAGTTAACCGATCCTTTAATCTACTCTGCTCAGTACGTGAGAGAGGCACGAACGCAGCTGAGTCCAAATGGAGCTGGAAAAGAGGGAGTAGGTCACAGAGCAGATATTTATGCGATGGATAAATAGTCCCATGGAGTAAATGCCTCCCCCCATTTCACCCAAATGGCTGTATTGACCCTTTTTTGTCTAGAACCCAGATGTTGGTGTCTTCGTGGGTCATTGCTGATGCTCACCATTTCCACAGAGCTTTTGAGCGAAACAGAGACCTTCAAAGTGAAATATTTCAGATGCTTGGTATGGAATTGGGTGGAAAACAGCAGGGCGTGATCGGTCATCAGCATTTTTCATGCACTCCTCCATCATTTTGTATGAGCTCATGTGCAGATTTGGCCTTGTTTCTCTGCCGGAGGAATCTCAACAGAGAGTATGTGTTTCTAGGGAGGATCAGGGGAGAACAAGGCTCACAGAGCTCTTGTTAATGAGGCTTAAGAGGTTGTTGCACCTGAAAGAGGCATAGATGTGCCCAGGAGAATCTATCAGCCACCAAAACCCAGACCTGATCCTTGAGGAAAGCAAAAAGAAAGTCCTTGAATGCTTTTGATACCTCGTTAGTTTTAACAGTTTCGTCATCAGTTTATTTCTGCAACCTGGCAAATGGAGTTTCATCAGGTGCTGAAGCAGTTTGTGCTAGGAAAATGGCATTTTGCCTCCAAGGACGAAGCCAAGAACACTGTGTAAAACCCCAGCGCTTTTCATGTTTTAAGAGAACAGATGAGATGGAGTAAATCTACTGCTTTGTACTTTCACTTTCTTTCTCTTAAAAAATGACCTCCTAAACTCCAGGAAGACAGCATCCTTCTGTAAATGCCACCTGAGCTAAAGCACGGCCATGCGAGAACAGAGGGCTGGCCATTCTGTGCAGTCAGAAAACAAGAACTGAAATGCATTCAGCAGTTCGCATTTAGTTCTCATTAGCTGGCCAAACAGAAAGCTATTTCCCCTGATTGTTCTGATAAATTATTTGAATTCCCACCAATGCACATCAGAGGGCCTCAGGTCTCCCAGATAGCATAGAAGTCCACAGCTCTGTAGACCCCACAATCTTCTCTCAGATTGCCAAGGGATCTGGACTCACAAAGGGAATATGTTGATCTGGGACAAAAAATCTTGCATAACTCTGGCACTTTCTGCCCAAACATACTTCTAGTTCTGTGCACACATGCAAACTTGATTTTTCAATTATGTCATTCTTCACAAATGCTTATGGAGATGTAGATTGGCCAGCAGTTATAAAGACCTCTATGGAACCTATTTTTTAATTCAGATTTATTTCCTAGTTTAATGGCAATGAAATCATAGTCACAACATAAAAACTAGCAACCTTGGGATTTTGGTATCTTAATCAGTGGCTGGCTGCTGGATGAACATTAGATTGCATTCCTGGGAGATTATGCCTAACAGGAATGCAGTTTGGGTGACTGGTTCAAGGTGGCATCGTTTTGAAATAGCTGTAAGATCTAAGGCACTAATTTAGAAAAATGAACCTCCAGTAATTGCCTGAAAACAAATAACAGCCCTTGGCTTAGCTGTATCAAATTGATCAGAGGATATATTAATTTTCTACATGGATAACTCCTGGTCTTTTTTTAGTTCAGCCAGCTCCCTCATAGCTTCTCTGCCCAGTCTTTCAAGCCTTTGCACATGTTATTCCTTCACTCACATTTAATTTTGTATGAGCTGCTTCATTATGAGCTGCACTATGTATAAACATTGTTTCTGATTGGCTGTTCAGTGACAGTAAATATACATTATATTTTTGAAAAGCTAATATGCTTCTGCATAAATATAAGCATTAATAAATGAAGTCTGCTTTTCAAGGGTCTGCTGTGATTGATATAGCAGGAAAAGTGATGGGTATCAGAGCTATCAAGTCAGCATGTATTTACTCTTTTAAAAATAAGTTAACCACTTGGCCCCTTTTCTGCTTTGTCTGGCTTTGCCAACGCCTGGGTTGGGGTCCTCTGTCCTGCATCTGCGCAAGGTTTTGAGGTTTTGTCTCTCTTGAAGTTGCTTCATTATTCATCAGTGACTGTGTGTTCACTGAGACGAGACCTTCAGCATCTCACAGGAGACCACCCCACCAGTCATTAGGCTCTGACAACCTTTCACTTTCTCTCTCGTTAGTCCATGGGTATTTGTTTATTCCATACAAATTAAACATGATAATCCCAGAGCTTTATACATATTTGGGGGGCCAAGGAAGAGCATTCTTCTGCACTAAGTTGCTGAACCACATTGTGGTTATGTCAGTGTGATGCCCCAGGGAGAGAGATGTTAAATTGCACCTTAATTCCCTTCTTGGAGAAACATGACACATGAGTGTTTTCATCTCAATGTGGAGCTGGGCCAGGTTTGCATCAAGACCTGAGAGTGAGACATTCTTGCAGGGCTCACAGCTGAGACACAGCATGTTCCTCAAGTGCTTGGGATCAGAGCAGGATTTAAACCTTCCTGCAAGTCAGGGCTGTCCTGAGTTTATTTTTTCCCATGGCAAAAATACAGACGAGCTGTTAAGTATGAATTTTGTTGTTCAGATAAATTGCCCTTAATGAAGAGAACAAAGTCTAATATATGAAGGCATTACAGAATCAGCCAACTGAGTGTAATGGGCCTGTACATTTAGATTTCAAGGCTTAAGTGAATAAGATCTTGCATTTCAATTAGTATGTACCATAGCAAGTTGGCCCACTAAAATACTGTTTGCGAGCAACTTGCAGCTCAACGTAAGAGTATCAGGACCTGCTTTGTGGAGAAGTGTCTCAGCATTTTTGTACACACAGCTCTGTGTCTTTCTAGGTGCAGGCAGAAAGTACTCACATATGTCACTTCTTTTGCAGGTGGTGAAATCCAATCCCTCTGAAGAAAGTCCGCACATAACAATGACGTTATCAAGGCACTATACACTGGGGAAATATCTTGGCAGTCAAAGCAAGCCATCACAACTGCAGGACTATGCAACAAATTCTCAGTCCCCATATCATGTCCGAGGCCCAATAAATCAAGTTTATTCTGAAATCCTTCTCAGCAGGCTCTGTGCAAGTAAGAGGGAGCTTGTCAGCACATAGCCTCTCTTGGATATAATGTTGGGCCTAGAGATGTGCCACTACCTGAGTGACAATTGAAGGACCATGGTGAATTTATGACATGCTTCCTCGGTTGGCTGCACACACCCCAACAGAGTCTGGGACATGTGGCATTTTTCCTAAAACTTTATGAAATCAAGATATGCCCTGGCAACTCTGTGGTGTCAAAATGGAAGATGTAGGGTTGCAAAGGAGAGGAGAGGGGAAGTTACTTGAACTGTTGCCAAAGGCTAGAACAGCTGTAGCTCAAGCAACTGTGTATTAATGATAGTAAAGAGAGAGAAATATATACACTTGAATGATTTGGAAAGGACTGCTTTAGCTCTTCAGCACTATCTAGTTTTCTATTTATAGAGACACTGTAATATTTGAATGTATTTAGAAACTGGCTACATTCCATTTTAAAGAGTTTTATTTTCTGTGGATGGGTTCCCCTTCAATGTCAAACCTTTTCTATTTAGACACTTGGTTTATACAACTTGAAAACGTCTATTAGCAATTTACTGATGATGTCAAGTTTTGAACTCTAGTGTTTTTAGTGAAAACACACCCCTTCTTTGTATCTTAGATGGAACAGATGTCTACTCTATTTTTTGCATGTTCTAAAGCTAATATAGGGGTAGATTACTTAGACTTGAGACTGATTATAACTGTCTTGATGTAACATGTAAATATAGTGAATATGTTAACATAACCTTATTTATGGTCCCAGTTTAGGAGACTGGCCATATGCAAGAAGACTGCTTAGATATGTACTTCAGTGTCTACCTTGACCTGTAAGCCAAACAGGTATTCTCCCTGCATGGAAGTGCCATTTCTTTTATGATTTTTTTGTAAAATACTTGCCCATGTGTGAAGCCAGTACCACAAACAGAAGAAAAATCCCCTTTGCAAGCACACATAAGAACTTTGGGATCTGGTTTTTAATTTGTCATAAGGCGCATGTGATGTGATGGGAGCAGGATATACTGCCTGCATCTCATGCTTGGCAGAGACAAGACCTTCTCTGAATGCCAGTTTCATGCTGTAGCCCAGCTACATCACCGGTGTTTGCAGACCGACTCTGGGTGGAACCCCAGGGAGAGGCTTTACCACCACAGTCCACTGATCCCCTGCCACAGCGTTGGCAGCACGCTCGTTCACAGTTGCGGTGCCCTGATGGGAAACCAAGCACGGTCCAGGCTTAGAGCTGGATGATGGGTTAATGGCACCCCATAAGACTGTTCTCCCTACAAATTATCCAGATAAGGATTTTTACGAATCCAGTCATGGAGCAGGCAAGCAAGGCACCACTCTCTCCCACCACGCACTGGAGAAGGGAGTCAGAACCAGGTAAGTACGAGCTTAACGAAGGATCCACCGAGCTCTGTGGCATGCTTCCCCCTTCACAATTTTACATATAATCCTCCACTAGCTTCTACTGCCTTTGGGAAAGGAAGATGCAAGCAATGTCAGGGAATAAATGAATTATAGCACAGAACTAATCACCATCTTACTGGCCTTAGTAGCACACAGAGGGGCTGCCCTATATAGATGTAGGGCTAGACATTCATGGCACCACATTTAGGATTTGCCAGAGATCCTTAAACTCAACATAGTCTGTATCCCCAGCTAAAGTTTTGTGAATTCTTGCTCCTTCAGATAAGATATGTAGAGGTATGATGGGAAATTGTCACTCAGTATGGAGTTTGGCTTCCGTAGGTGATAAGAGGATCCTCAAAAAGAAGATCTGGTGTATCTAATTTAGGAGACTTTTCAGTATATTGACAAAGCTCCTAATTTAGACAATGTCATTACATTTAGTGAGACAGTGTGATTATCTGTTACTATATAATATGCTGCTGCTGTTCTTACAGTCAATGTCCCTGAATTTCTGTGTAAGGTTTTTCCTGGCATGGAGCTTTACATGAAAGACGGGTCAGGAGCTGTACATAAATACTGAAAATGTCAGCATTTGGTTTTGAGCAAAATGATTATCTAAGGAATATAATTGTATGTAAATGATATAATATATAATCTTGGGTCTGGAATTCCAGGGCTGCACAACCTTAAAGCTGAAGGATTTTAAATCACATCATTAATATTAGTAGATGCAAAATGCAGCCAGATGTCTTTGGTATTAAGATGATCAATGATCGGTGTATTACAACTCTGCTTCTGTTAAGATTTTTTTTGTAGCTTATTTAAATCCACATGCTGTTACTGTTATTGTTCTGTACACAAATGTTTTTAAGGCATGAACTGGGTTTTTATGTTTGGGGTTTTTTTTAATCAAAGCCTATTACTGAAGCATCAGCTATATTGATGAAAAGGAAAGAGCTGACTTTGTTATACTGTACTGATACCATCAAATGTGCAATTCATCACTTCTGGTTTCACCACAAAATGGTTTACATGTGCTGTACGCCCAGATGTCTTAATGTTTTCCAAATCTTAATATTTTTCAAAAGTATCGAGTGGAAATTTTCTTGTGTGTTTTCTATTTTTTACATGTCCATGTACACACATATGTCTGTACAAAGTCATTGGTACAATTTGCAAATTGATCTTTATTTAAATGAGTTATATAAGTTTTTTCTAACACCATATACAATCCATGTAATCTTGGGAAAAAACAAGGGGAATGCAGACTAAAACAGGTACCAAGGTACATTTTTCATTATTTAAGATATATCTAGCATCTCTAGGTATGTGAAAGAAGAGAGTTGAGATTGACATGGAAGCATCGCTTGCTTATACACATTAACATTTACAGATTATGACAATAAAAGAATTACCATGTTTGAATTCCAGTGAGAGCACATGTTGCAGTCAATGGTTTACTCTAGAATTATCACATCAGCTGTGACATTTTGCCTGAATAAGCATTGAAGTGTTCCTACTACATTAAGGCTGATTCATAATGTAGGACTTTTTACCCCCATATATTTACCTTAGTCCCATTACTTACCATTAAAATAGCAAAGGACCTAACTGTCAAGGTGACTTCCACCTCCTAATACAGACATGAATGGCCCTGGAATTGGTGGTAGGATTGAAATGATCAGGCTGGGGAACAAGTACAGCGAGAAGTGTTGTTTTCCTGCTCAAGTCTGCCCAGCAGCACATGGAGTTTAGAGTGGAGCCAGGGTATACTTTAAGCTACAGGTAGAGAGACTGGAACTGTGCTGCAAAAAAATAAATACTCTGACATACAGAGCAGTAATGTCAGCTATTATTGCATCCCTTTAACCTTTAGGTGAAGCTGCAGTATGATGTACCAGTGTCCAATGAGTTATAACTCCTCATCTCTCGTGTAACTCCACAGATGTTGAACAGTGATTCAGGTTTGAGCCTTGCAGGGTAGATGGCCACCATGATCAAGTCCATCTCAGTGAGTATCTTTGGAATAATTGGCTATAATAAAAAAGATTTCCCTGTTTGTAGGGAAATGCCTTGACAAATCAGCTTTGTCATCAGAGATGCTATATTACAAATATAGCTAGGAGCTGAAAGAATGGACTACGAATACTATTTTTACACTTAGTATTCATTTGAAAATGTTAATCTTCAGAATAATATCTTTCACACAGTTAAATATAAGGCCTTTATTTTTCTCTTCTGTGACGTATTAAAGGGACATCAAAGTCAATTTATTTGCTTAGTGGGTGGGGTAGTGGGGCATCCAATTACCTCAAGTTTGAAATAACCACTAATAGTTATGCTTCTGTTGCTATGCTGAGCCAAAGAGAATGCTTTGAAGATGCAGATATGTGTGATATTAAGTTGACTGCAGTCCAGGGATCTTTCAGATTACTTTTTTAGAGTAAAGCAATTTTTTAGAGGTGCAGTGAGCTATTTGGCATCGAGTCAAACTGCTAAACAAGCCTCTGTAGACTCACATGAAAAATATAGTCTTACCTTTTTGTTTGCCTGCTAGCCTTGCATCTGGGTTGTTTTACCTCACTGTTATGACTATCTGTACCTGCTCTACTCCACATCAGCCTTTCTTTCAGGTGACCTGAGAAGTTGCTGTTTCATCGTAGAAGCAACTTTTGGAAATCTGAGAGATGTTTGTTCCACATTCAGGCTGAATCTTCAAAATATCAATGTTATTATCTTAATGTTTTTGTCAATTCCAACAGCAAAAGATCTACTGATTGCAGCAGGGGTAGAGCAAGGCTCCTCTCTAGGGCAGTGATTTTCTCTGATGAATTTAAAACAGCCATGTTATGGTAAGTACTTAGCGTGCACTAGCACTTAGCTCTTCATGGAGCTTGCCTTTACTGAGCCAAACTCCATCTTTCAAACTCCACTGCCATCTTCGCCTGTGTAAACCTTCAAAACACCAGAACAGTCAGTGTATAATGCAGGCATACCTATGTATTGGTGCTGGTACATATCCTGCAGTATTTACTGGTACCTTCACTCTATCTATGGAACAAAAAAGACCTGACTACACAGTAGAAAGATGCTATGCGTTTTAGCCTTACTCGCCTGTGGTTTGGTGGTACTAGAAATAGTGTTACATGTGTCAGCCTAGGCCAGGACCTAGAACCAAGTGACCTCGGAAACTGCTCAAGTCATTAACTTGAATGGGCAAGATGGGCCCGCAGGGTCACAACAGGGGCTGCTGCAGCACCAGTTTCTACTGCGATGGGCTTCTCCCTTTTCTAGGTTCATTCATCTGGCTGCTTGGCCAGCTCCTCAGCAGCTGTGGGCAGCCCTTCTTGCAATCCCTCAAACATGTTCAACAGCCTTGGCAAGGTATACCCTGTTAAGTAGCACTGAACTGAAGATAAAGTGTATGTTTAAATAAAATCTGAACTGAGATCTTGGTGAAACACAGCACCTACCCAGCACCTCCTTGATTTCCTCTAGAATTGAACTGCTCTAATGAGGAGCAGAATTCAGTCCCTTTCATCTGAATCTCAGATAATGGGGGGTTTTCTCAACTTGTGACAAACTTTTTCCCCACTGCTTGCTTGCATGAAATAAAGGGAGGGATCTTCTCTGCATGCTCCCGCCTAACAGAGTGAAATGAGCTGCATTCACACAGTCACTTCAGTAGGCATTTCCTTCATATACCTCATTATGGGGACAAAATTTCTATGGCAGATAGTGTGTTCAATATTGTGATTCTTTTTTATCTGTCTTGAGCAGTGAGAGGCAATGCAGTTAAAACAGCCAGTGCCTGGCTCAGTGTCTGCCAGCACCGCCTGCCCCAGTGCTGCTGGGTTCTGGGTGAAGACAAGACTGCAGAACTAAAATCCTTGAGTGAAGAATCAAAAGGCTTTAGACACCTTTTGGCGAAGTCAGGGCAGTTCTGAAGAGCTCACTACAGATCAAGTGGGCAAAATTAAAGTCATCAGGAGCCCTTTAAAGTCAGTAAATTTTGTGCGATATTGCCAGGTTTTGAAGGCCAGATCTGCACTTGGCAGAGTTTCTCACTTGCCATGTTCTGAAAACGTCTTTTATCTTTTCTTTTGTACTTGTCATTATCAACTTCCATATTTCCATTATGATTCTCTGGGATTAAGGAGCTTAAAGTAATGTTTCTGCTCTGCCTGATAATGACTGTGCAGCCTCCCCAGATGGTAATCAAATTGTCTTATAGATCAGAGAAGTTTTACTATTTCTGCAGGGTTTTTCCTTCTACATGCCAGCTGCAAGGATCCTGTATGTTTACAGTTAATCGTCAATGGCTTTAGTTATAATAGCTTTAATGCGTCCAACGTATTCAAATAAACCTGCTGATCCCTATT